CAGGAATGTTGATTTTGGAACAAATAATTTTTTCTTTAATATCCAGTACATTGTGTAGTATCACCTCACCTAATGAGCTACATCAGCTAAACTGTATTCGATCGTGTCCACACCTAGAAGTGACAAAAACTAGCACCTTGGCGCCGTGACCCCGTGGAGGAGTTTCTGGAAAGTTTGGCATCTACGTTGGGTTCTTTTTAAGAAACCAGCACAGAAGTGTCTTTGCGTGTAAGAGTTCCACAGCATTGCCTTTCCTGTTAAAGGATAGCAGATTGGGAAGTCAGTTTGGTAAAGTCATTTGCAAACCTTGCCATTTCAAGACTGTATATTTATATAGATGAGTATAATTTAGAAGCCGGACTTTTGCCAAGTACTGTGTGATCCCTTGAGGAGAGAACAGATTGGAAATTTTAATAGATGGCAGTTACAGTAAAATGAGCTAGATCGGGCGACATCTTAGGCAACCGTCAGGTAATATCAAGCATGACAATTTCAACCCAAGCACAGAGTTTGGAATATAAACAGCATTTAATTGCTTAGGAAATTGGCTGCCTCTGAGAGGAAATCCACTCCATGCTCCTGATAACGCTGCAAAGCCAGGCAGCAGGAGCCAGGGAAACTGTTTCCCTGAAGATGATTTCCTTGATGTGGGGATGTAAAACACCATCAAGACCTCAGGTAAAAAAAAGCCCGGATCAGAAAGGAAATGGAAATACAATCTGAAAATACCTAATTGGATTTGACTTTTTTTCCTCCCCTGAGAAATCTTGCTATCTCAGGTTTATTACAAGCATTTTTTCCCCCCATTTTACACCATACTCGTTTATCCTTACAATTTTCTTGTGGAAGATCAGCTTTATCCAGCAAAATCTGTACTGGCCAAGTCTTTACTATAACCGACAAGGACCTCCATATCCTGCCCGGTGGTAAAACTGTGCATACAGTAGGTGCTCAGTAAGTTAATTCCTGTCTCTCTTTCTTAGCTGTTTGGAGCTATGAGCGTGTTGCATTTCTGGCCAGCAGTGCTACCAGGCATGATGGGAAGGGTAGGGAAGAGTGATGTGCCCTCGGCCATCATTCCACTCACTCCACAGGTATTCGCTGAGCTCTTTGCCGTATCCCTGACACTGTGATGCCAGGGAAGCAGCACACAAAGCCCCTGCCTCACAGAGTTTAGGTGTAGTTTAGGTTTCTTGAGTGACAGAGGCAATTACAAAGCTCTTCCCACTATTATGCGTGGGAAGTGCAGCGCGCTAGCCCGGGAGTGGTAGGCAACCCAGCCTGGCAGAGGTGGGGTGAGAGAGGGGTGACCTCCTGGGACCCGGTAGCCCCGATCCAATGGTCGCTGGGTCTTCTGAAGTCCGAGGAGACACTGAGTTGTAATGGTGTAGCGTCTGAGGCACTGAGCACCCAGCGTCCGTTATGGTTAATACAAATTCTAAAAAAGAAAATTAGCGGGCACCCTGCTGATTAAATAGACATTGTTCTGAGACAGTTCAACTTAGTGAAGACTGACTGGGAAGTAACTGCTCAGAGATCCAAAGTTTGTAGCACGGCTTTGAGAAAGTGGGAGGAAGCTCAATACCACCATAATTACACTTTATTGGAAACAGTAGCACCAGGCAGATGAGATAATGAATTTCTCTTTGTCTAACACAGACCATCCACCCCTGGAGGAGCCCCGTGTTTGGACTGTGGAAGGGAGAGATTGATTAGACAGTGAGGAAAGATGATCTCCTGATTTCTCCTGGGGATTCTCCTGGCAAGAGCATTTAAAAGTTCTTGTGTACTTTTTCCCCCTTTGGAAAGCTTCACATAATCTTTCATTATATGATGAATGACGAGTTTCTCTCTGAATCAGGTGAAGTTTTGACAAAGCTTTGCAAGCATTGTCCTTGGGATTCCCTGATATGTCATCCAGGATACAGTCTTCCTGCGATCAGCATTTGTAATTTCTGAGGACTAGTCTCTGATGTGCATACGGAATGGCCCCCGATCAGCCTGCCAGAGGGAGAAACTGTGGAAGTGGTTGCCAGCATCTTGCTGAGATGGTTGTCAATATTTATGGTTCTGAGAAACTAAAAAAATCAATAACGCTCTGAGCCAAGTCGAAGTTCCATTAGCTAGAAGCCAGGCTTCCTTCTCAGGGCAAAGAAAATATGAAGCCCGGGAACCTGTTTGAGAATCACGTCCTTGGACGTTACTGACCTTCACAAGGCAAGAGAGACCATTTCAGCTAGAAACATTTTACCTGATCCAAAAGCAGGAATAATCAGTGCATGTTTATGTTGTCCCCGCTGAATTTTCTCATTTTCACAGGTACTGAATTGTTGGAGGGATTGTGTGTGTGTGTGTCTGTGTGTCTGTGTGTGTGTAAGTGAACTTGTAGGTATGTCGAGGGTAGAGGGGGAAGTTTTAACATTTATGTAGCCTTTCACACTATCAGTGATTTGAAGGCTAGGTAAGGTACCACCCCTCTTGATGGTTAATTGAGCAGCCAGAGAATGGAGACTTGTTTAGGGATGTCTAAGTTTTAGGTACACATAGTGAAATTTGGGGGAATGTTGTAGTAGCAGTGCTGTCCCGGAATGTCCATTCTACCTGAATCAGTATGTGACTGTACACTATAAGTTATTTCCGCCTATCATAGA